TGCGTCCCCCCCAATGACAGACTCGTTCCTACGCCCTTGGTTATATAGACCTTATTTGGGAAATATTTATTTTAGATGTAAAAATAATCCAGTAATAATACTGACTGTATTTAGTTTTTTATAAATTTTAATAAATGTATAAAATTCATTAAAATTCCTATGACAAAATATTGTTATAGGATGTCGCCATGTTGTTCACGCTGCAATGCATTCTGGGTAAATGACATGTAATGGTCCAACTGCCTGGCTCCTCCAGTCAAAACAGTGATGAGTATCGTTATTAAGCCTTTTTAATTTAAACCGGAGCGCACTGAAATCGATCAGAACGTAGAAATCAGAGGAGGTGATGAAGAGGAGCAAACAGAGGAAGAGGACAGAGTTGGCCATAGGAGCTGCTGCTGCTGCTGCCTTCAGCTTCGTAAATGAAACAATGTAACACATCGTTTCATTTACGAAGGTATGAAACGCATACCTCTGGTCGGACTGTGTGATCCGGTAAGTACTTCTGTAGCTCTGTGTCCGGTTCGGAAGGAGCTGTTTAGGGTCCGAATTTCGTTTGGTGTTTGTAGTGGTTTCACATTCATTACCAGTGTTCCAGCTCCCTTCGTATTTCCAGTAGTAATAGCTCTGTTAGTGCTGCTTGTCTTTGATGTTTTTCCTAGCATCTGTAGCGCTGTGTCCGGTTTGGCAACAGCTGTGCTGCTTAGAGTTCGGTGTGATGGTAGCACCGACACCGGACCTCCATGGGTCCGGTTAGATCAGTAGATTCAGTAGGTATAGCTCCTGTTGGCATCTCAAAGAGCGTCCAGCTCTGCCTGTCTCAGCAGCAGCACGGCATTTATTTTTAGCTTGTTAAGGTAACTATCAGTTGTTCCTTTGTTGGTTCTGCTGGTATAAATGATTCTGGGGGGTCCAGGGTCCAGATTAGGTCCTTCAGAAGTTGTTCAACTCTGGCTCTCGCACTGCGCTCTCCTTTCTTTCATGTAGGAAATTATCCAGATTCGCCTCCATTTTTCATTTTCATTTTTTTAAATTACAGCCAATAGTGACACAGTATGGCATTATCTAAAATGACACCAGTCAAACTACTTGAGCTGCACGTAAGGTATAAAGAGACACCTTGATGGAACACTTACTATATACAAGAGCTGTGTCCAAATTTAGGGTCGGCATCCATATGTAGGACGGCCTGGTAGACACAGGCTAAAGCCAAGGATATAGAACAAATTATCTAATTATAGAAAATACATCCCTGGCCCCTTCACATTCAGAAAAACATATTCATATTCCACTTATTCAGCACATTAGGACATTGACTTGAACAGACTTTATAGAATAGTTAAACACTGACATTGTGGAACAGAAGACTGAAGAAAAACAGCTCCAGCTCTGATCCTCGCTGACCTGTCCTGAAAATCCTTTGGTCTTTAATGCACTTCTGTTCTGACAGTGGTTTCTGATCAGCTCTCTCTCATTAAAAAACCTACACAGTATGAAAAGTTAGCTAAACTAGGAAAATAACAATAAGAGTGGTTACTTCGGGCCAATTTAGTTACATGGGAAATATTTCTTGGTTGTTCAGAAGCAAGTTTCTGGCCGCAAAGTCAAGAAATTCTGTTCGTAAAATTACGTCAATATTTTCTGTCACTCTAAGGTAATGCAATGGATCCAGTTTGTCCTGTAAAATGGTTGAACTTAGTCCAAGCAGACTGAATTATGGATCTCTGATCACTCTATTGCCACATTCAAGATGTTGGCGACATACCGCAAGATTCGGCGTAAAATGACGCATCTATGTATTCATGTCTATGGTCCATATCGTTTAGTTAACATAGGACTGCAGTACCGATTCTGAAGTGCCTGAGCAGATTAGGCTGACCTTGGCAACACACAGATACTAAAATCTGATTGGACGAAACACCAATAATCCACACAGACATATATGGGAAGCAGCAAAGACAAGAGAAACATTATAAAAAAGAGAATAGACTATTGAAAGTAAATAACATTTAACTGAATACTTATCAATTAGGTTACAGCTAAATGTTAGTGATTCTGCTAGCTAGTGCAGTGACTGGCTGATCCTAATACTGAGCCGATTTGATATTAGCACAAATCACACATACTTTTATTTATTTCTGGTAGACAGAAATGCTGGAAAGGAATGTTTCCATCAACTGGAGATTTTAGATCAGGCCTATATATTCTGATCTTTTTTTTTTTTTTTTTTTTTGGCTGATATTGAACCAGGACACCGCTGTAATTTTATAGGCAATATTTGTTTTACATATTTGCTGAAACTGTCAATATCTTGTGACAGCATGGTATGAGACAGGTAATCTGTGAAAAAAATCCAGCTCCTCTGCCTTCTCCTAGTGATAACTTAGAACAACTCATCGGAGCCACAAGGCAGATCTTGGCTCCAAGGGTGAAGGGACACATATTGGAAACCTGACAAATAAATAGCTTGAGCAGAAATGTCATAAACAGGTTACTTAGTAAAGTGTTAGTCCAATCTGACCAAGTAATGTAAAGCGTTACTATTTACAATCCAATAATCAGATTAAAGTTACGTATAGTTACGTATACAAGTCACTCAGTATCCATCCGTTCATTTTCTTACACCTTTGTCCCTAGTGGGTCAGGAGGTGTTGGTGCCTATCTCCAGCAAACGTTTCGGGTGAGAGGCGGGGTCACCCTGGACAGTGGTGACTGCATGCATGTTTCCCCATTTCAAGTTGCTGCTGAGCTCATGCAGCTTAAACAGGCACAGATGGATGGTTTCATTCTGCCTCTTGATGAGCAGAGTATAAAGCTAGGTGACCTCAGGGCCTCTTGGCCAATTGGGCAGCATGGGTGCTGCAGCTTTGTTGGAAATGTGTGTATTTGCCTTGTTTAGAAAGATGCCAGGTTCATGGTTTCTCCCAGGTTACTTTTTACTTAAGAGGATTGTCTAAAAGCCCTGGATTTTGTTATTTACACTCTCATTTTTTCTTTAGGTTTTTCCCCGCCACCGTCAAGATTCTTCCTGGTTTATTTTAAATAAAACTTTAACTATACTCTCCTGGTTTTGCTTCTTCATTTCCTGTTTGTTTCTCCCCCCGACCCCTCACAAACAATAGACTGGCTTGGGGATGCAATAGATGGATTTTTCATTGAGTAATCAAGTAGTTATTTTTTCAAAGTAACTATGCCATTCCTGGTAGTAAACTATCTACACTGTACATTAAACGTATGTATATGTTTTATGATCTCAAGGTGACAAATTGTCCCAAAAAACATCTTCTTCCATTTCCTATTGAACAAAATGGCTTGAGTCTTTAATCAAGCATCATTCCAGGACTGAACTCTCACTTTATCATTTGCCTCACAACTAGCAAGATAAATACACACAAGCTTACTACTCGATTTTGACATATTTTGTCAAAATGTTTTATTATTGATCAAAATACTTTTACATATGTTTGGCACTTGAACTGGTTCAAGTTTGTATTTTCAAGTTTGGTTCAAGAAAGTATTTTACCTTCAAAAACTGTAAGTAAAATACAGCTAGTCAAACTGTTTTAAACTGAATACAGTAGTTTTACCAACAAAAATAAAGTCTAAAAACATTTTTTTTCTTGAACAACATCAGTGCAACAGTTTTCCCACAAAAATAAATTAAAATCATACTTTTCACATCTAACAGACACCTTAGCTCCTCACTGATAACTCAGTGTGTTGTCTCACTTTCCTGCCCTGCATTCAATAACTTGCCAAACGAGCCATGGCTCTCAAAAGATTGAAAAACACAGACACAGGCAAAAAAGCCTAAATGTTTTTTTTTTCCTGTCATTTTCAGCCACAAACATTTGATTAAAATATCTTGTCGTGCTCCTGTCTCTCCCCTGTCCTGCTCTTTTCATAATAATTTTATTTAAAAAGTAACAACAGGTTAATACATATTTCAGTAAACTAATTGAAGACCTCACCAGAGCTTCCTCAGTCGCTTCACCTTTCTTCAACAGCATCACTATTCTAACACTGCCATTCTCTTGAGACATTACATAATATTTAATGCAATGATAAATGGTCGAGTATGATCAGGTGTTGTGTAGCCATTGCTCAAACTGACAAACTTTAAACAAAAACAACAGAAAAGGCTCATTTTACTGTTTCAGTCTCATTGTGATGAAATAAAACATTGTAGCTAGAGTAGCTAACCTTTAGGCAAAGGTTAGCAATAAAATATTGGACGTGTGATTATTCCAGAATTATCCGACTTAGCCCTGCAGTTTGAGAGAGTTCTGAGTTCAGTCACCGCTAACCAATAGGGACAGGTCTTACATCGCTCTCTTTAGGCCCTGTCCAGGATGTTCATGTGAGATTCACAAGCAAAACTTGGGTTCAACCAAAAAGAGAAATTAAAAAACAAACGTGAGAATGCTACCAAAAACTTCGACTGTCAACCAAAAAATTCTGACATGCGCAGATAAAAATTTATGTTATGCAAATAACTTTTTCCTTTCAAACAAAAATGAGTGATTTTAATAAAACATCTTTTTAAACATGTTTTTGTTTTAAAAAAATTAAATTCTTACAATTCAAAAAGTTTTGACCAGTTTCATTTCTTTATTTTTTTTTGATTGAGTAATTGTGAAACAAATTTAACTCCATACCAGTGAAGCAGGAAAAAGAAACCATCTGTTAACAGAAAGTCCTTTTATTTGACTTTTTTTTTTAAAAAGATGAACATATAAAGCACCATCTGAAAACAGAAGATGGCCACTTTGAAATAACAGACACATTAAAGAAAACTGTCATTCATGACAAACATTTACATCAGAAAGGACAGCAGAATTTCTTCCAAAGTAAAAAAAAAACAAAACCAAAAAAAAAAAAAACAAGTCCTGTAAAATGTACTTTAAAGAGCAGCCCTGGTACTTCAGCAGGTTAAACTGAGTCAGTCCTCTTGTAAGCCACCATGCTGTTCACCTTGTGGATGGAGGTGGTGAAGGAGCGCAGGCGCACCTCCTCTGATTGGTTGATTATCTGTGGGCCGGACTCCTCCCACTTGTCTGGAACCACCAGGTCTTTATCAGTGTAGACCAGGAGATCAAAGGCACCTGCAGTGGAAGGTCAGAGGTCAGAGATCATTGGAACAAAGGGAGATAGTAAAGAGAAAGAAGAGGAACTAACATGGCGTCTCCAGCAGAGGGAGGAAGGTAACTGTGGCTGTTATCTGCCTGATGACAGAGCGGATCTCATCTTGAATGATCTTGATGGATTTCTCCCTGGGAGCACTGGGAACACACAACCAACAACAAAAACTCATCCATACTGATGTCTGAGAGCTTATTTTAGGTTTATACTGCCCCCTGCTGGGGAAGATAATTTTGTACCCTACAGTTTCTAACAATATTCTGTCTAATTTGAATCCCAAAAAAAACATCAAATAAAATGTTTTGTGTGAAATCAGATGTTTTATCTGAAGAAAGCAACATAGCGCTGACCTGCTCTCCTTAGCCGATTTGTCACACTCGATGTCAAACTGCCATCTCTCCAGCACCTCGTTGGTTTCCAGACATGTAATGACCAACACCAGCTTCTGCACGGTGCACTCAAACAGCCACTCTGAAACAATGATGAACAGAAGGAGAACATTTGGAGCGCACCGATTCCAGCTCTTCTGGTCTGATCAACCAATAGTCATTTTCTTCCTAAAAACATCAGTTATGTTAATTAGTTTCTGAAAACTTCATTCTACAACTAAAATAATACACAAATAGTTGTGCACTGACTGCAGTTTTCTAGCCGATCAATTTAATTGATCTGAAAAGTTGCTAGATATAGCAACTTTTTATTGCTATATAAAAAGTTGCTAGATATAGCAACTTTTCAGAGCAACAAAGTTCCTTTCACATGCAAGTATCGAAGGATCGCCCGAAATTAAGACAATGGTGTCTGCTTTATTGGTGCACTCCTACATAAAGAAACAATGGAGAATCCAACCAAAAATGAAAGAACTGAAAATAATTCTCATATATTAACTGATTTTTACTAAACTTCAAACAAATGATTTAAGAAATGCAAAACTATTTAACCAGGATAACTTTATCATCATCTGCATATCTTATTGAGGGCAGTATTTTTAGATCATCAATCTATTGCTGCCACCTACTGGTCAATGATATTACATTACATACTCTTACTTTACTGTGTCAGAATTACTGATTTTAACAGGGATATTTGACTCTGATCAGACTATCGAGATCAACTTTCAACCTTTTGGTTTCCATGGTGACCTGTAGCTGAGGCCAAGCAGAAAAATCAAGTTGTCATTAGAACGTCAGGAATCCATGGAATAAAATCTGAAAACTATTTCAGTTCAGGTGACTCGTCTCTTGAGCCGTTCTACTGAGCACCGGTACCTTTGAGCTGAGACACCACGTTGGTCAGGTAGTTCTTCAGCTTGGGGTCAGTGGTGAGCTGCAGGGTCATGTCATAGTGTGTGACTCTGGTGAAAGTCTCAGGAGGGTAGATGCCCCGCTGGTACAGGATACTGTTGATGCCAAATGCTGTGGAGAGACACTGGGTCAGCTAAGGTTCAGCTAAAGATGCTTAGAAACCATGTTGAAGTGGAACTGGAGATGCATGGATCAGGCATTACTGGCTTATATTGATTTCTTGCTTCCTTTGAGGGAGACTGACTCAATATATCCAATTGCAATGATCACTGCAATTGCAATGTGTGCAATATCAACACAAACTGCTTGAATGCAATTTTTTTTTTTCGACTAACATGCAAAAAATATGTTTGGCCTTTTGGATTTCTTTCTACAGACTATAAACCCAGACGCTTGTGCACTAATTTACACGCCACTTCAGACTTTTACCCGTATTTGGCCAGTGGCGGGTGCTAATTTGCGCCCCTGCTCATAACAAACTGTCACAACGTGGTGACAGCTTTAACAAATATAGAGAAAACATTTTTTTTATTAAAGTTGTATACTGCAGCTTGAATAAAATGCAAGTACGTAGCATTTTTTGAGAAATCTGGATTGCTTCACGTATATTTTGCACATTGCCTATGACTGTTGCTCGTGGGGACAGACATTACAGTAATCTAAAAAACAAACAAAAAAATGTAAGCAACCTATTTGACAGGAGTTGCATGTAAAATTGACAAACAGTAAATATTGTGATAGTATCAGTATTGGACCAAAGAAAGCAGGGCTTTAAAATTGTGGTGCTTTTTATGGGTGAAATAGACTCAAGAAATTGTAACAGCAGCTGCGAAGGGGGTGCTTAATTTATTTGTTTTTGTCATTGGGCCCAAAATTCCTGGCGGCGCCCCTGCAGGAGACTAATAAATGATCTCCTTTCTCAAAGGAGCAGCTTCGTCGTCAAAGTCAGCTCCTGGGTCCACCAGGCGTTTTGAACAGACGCATGGTTCCCACTGGGCATGAAAGTATTTCTCAAGCATGCATGAAAGAATCAAGGCAACACTCCAGGTATGATTTTGATGAGGGAATAAAATCATAACATGATGTAAGGCTAAAAAAAGTGTCACCTTTGCGTAACACCTCTTTAATTCATTAAACCCAGCAACCTCTCGCTAAACATCCCCCACAAAACGCTAAAATGTAACCATATCAATGTCTACTGCTCCAGTAAACAACTTTAACACCGAGGCAAAGATCGGTTTATGAACGAATTGCGCTCCTATAGACTTCGGGATGCATATTATGAAAAATATCAACATTAAACTCCATTTGATTTGCTTTTGTAGCGCTCGACTTCAACGTCAGCGTGGTACAGGTGAGCGGTGCATTCCACTATGAAGACCAGCAAAAATAAATCGTTATCTGCAACGACAATAAGTTGCACTTATAGCTCAGAGCAAACACACTGGCTTCCGATGTTTATTGCAGTTTCATGTTGAGTTCATGAGTTTAACAAAGACTCAGCTCAGGCCCAACAGTTTCACTTTAGCACAGCGTGTTGTGTCGAAGCTAAGGGAAGAAACGCGCTGCTAAGCTATGGATTGAAGCTGAATACTTACAGAAGAACTCAGCCACCAACTCCGCGCTTCCTTTAAGAGTGATTCCCTTAAGAGTACTGGTCATGGTTCCAATTATCACCAACAGATTCTCCTCTAAAAGATTTTTGTGCCGCTTCTCTGTTCTCTGTTCTCTTCTGCTACCCGCCGTCCAGTTTGAAAATGTCATATGCACTTACACGCATGCGTAAAGCCTCCCTTCTCAAGTTGCGTTTACATTTTCTTGACGCGAGGGGGCAGTGCATAACAATCCAACTGTTGATCTCAGTCTTGCCACGAAAGACCTTGAAAGATTTTCGCAAATTGAACTAGTAATCACTACATTTAACTTTCTTGCTGCATTCAGTGAGCCAAACCGCTGCATGTGTTCAGAACAAGAAAGCAGGCATTCCTATACTTTTGTGTAATATTTCATTCAAACTTGTCATTTCAAGATTTATTGTTGTGCTGTCAGATTTTGGTGCCATTGCTCGCAAGTCTGTCCGAATGTCAAAGTCGAAGTTATTTGTCCTTCTATATAAAAGAAAGTGCTGCTACTTTCAGTAGTTTAAAGAAGAAATTACATTTTATTTGTTTTTTAGAGATTCCCCTGTAGTCAAATTCTCAATTTGTTTAAGTTTTGTTTGTCCAGTTATAGAATTTGTTTAGTCCTTTCTT